ATATTGCCCTTCCCTCCTTCCCTCTCCCCACTGGTAACTGCTAGTTTGTTCTCTATATCTGTGAGTCTCCTTCTTTTTTGTTATATTCACTAGTTGTGTTTTTTTAATTCCACATATAAGTGATAAATCATATAATATTTGTCTTTCTTTGTTTGACTTATTTCACTTAGCATAATGCCCTCCAGGTTCATCCATGTTGCTGCAAATGGCAAAATTTCTTTCTTTTTTATGGCTGAGTAGTATTCCAGTGTGTGTGTGTGTGTGTGTGTGTGTGTGTGTGTGTATATATATATATATATATATATATATATATATATACCACTTCTTTATCCATTCGTCTGTTGATGGACATTTAGGTTGATTCATAAATGTTTGCCTTTCGAGTAGCATTTGCTTTGTGGAAACAGCTGAAAGTCATCCAGAACCAACTGGGATCATTAATATGGGAAATGAACTTGAGGATAATGTGCACCAATAAGCAGCATGATCTTTAACAAGTCACCTCCCTTTCCTGGTCCCTACCTTAGTATCCTCATCTGGAAAATGGGAGCATTTTACTAGATCACTTGATAATGCAGTCTACCATTTGCATTGGCCAGCACAAGCTGTGAAATTTAATGTCACTGCATTTTCCACAAACTGTTTAAGCTTTTTTAAAATCAATCACTTTAAATTTCCAGGAGAGTCACAGGGCAAGAGAAAACTAAAAGCTAAAAGTCCCTGTGTATGCCGGGATAATGTCTGTGAAAGGCTTGCCATATGACCTGACACTTAGAACTTCCATAAAGTGTTACCCTCCTTTCCCCAACTGTGTCCTGCCAACCATGGTTTCAAATAGTGATCACCACAGAGGCTTCTGCGTCAGCCCTCCACATGCAGCTCCCTTGCCACCCTCTGGAATTCACCAACACACAGGACCACTGGAAATGGGCTGCGTGTGCCCCACGTTCTGTGATGGCAGGCGGTCAAACCCCAACCGAGATGCTGTCTCCCTGTTGCCATCTTCCACTTCCAACGGGACCCTCAAGCTGGGTAGATCTCACCCATGGCATGGAACTTGAGAAGGACTAGGGCAATTCCGGGTAGGTTACTGAAGATCCACATGACTTCTAAGTTGTGGTCTGCTCTGAGGAAAGCCCCCTCCTGCTCTCTTGAACTCTCTTATCTCTCTCTGGCTTCTAGGGAGGAACAACAAGCACAGCTCTCTCCATCAGAGTCACAGAATCATTTGTCTAGACAATTTAACTTTCACGCTTCTGTTCCGGTAAGAACCCTTTAAATGGGGACACTGCTGATTGCTGGTGACTTTTTTGAGAAAACACATGACAGGATGTGGATAAAAGCCAACCGAAGGTCAAACAGTTCATTGGGGAAGTTACTTCTCATGTACTCAGATTTCACTAGAAGCTTCAAAAGTGAAAGCAAATCTAGATTTCCATCTCAGTTGCTGTTGTTTCCGCACAGAACAAGTGCTTTTCCCTTGGCACCAGTGTATGTGTGTGTATATATTATACATATGTAATGTACATATGGTATTATGGTAATATATTACACAAAATATACAATATTAATAATTTATTAACCAACATTAATAAATATAGTATAAATGTTAATATAATAAATTTTATATAAAATAATAATATGCAATATAATTATATATAACATATAATATTATATGATATATATGTATGTGTGTACATATGTGTATATATATATATAAAACAGATTCATTTCAAGGAATTGGCTTATGAGATTGGGGGACTGGCAAGTCCAAAATCCATAGGACAGGCCAGCAGGCTGGAGAACCTTGTGCAGGACCTGATGTTATAGTCCACAGGTGGAATTTCTTCCTCCTCAGGGAAACCTTAGTTTTGCTCTTAAGGCCTTTCAACTTCTTGGATCGGGCCCATCCACATTATCAAAGATAATCTCCTTTACTAAGTCAACTGACTGTAGATGTTAACCATCTCTACAAAATACCTTCACAGCAACACCTAGATCAGTGTTTGATTGAACAACTGGGCACCATAGCCTAGCCAAGTTGACACATAAAACTGACCATCACAATGATGTACCCATTAAATTTCATTGACTGTTTTATAAACTATTAGAGATTGAGGTGGAGAAGCGTGACAATCTCTCTCAGTACCACCGTGCACTGAAGACCCCTGTGAGGTGACAGTGCAGCAGAGCAAAAGCCGGGTCACTTGCACCACACCGTGAAGACCTTGACCCACTGGCTGGTTCCCTAGGGATGGCACCAGACAGGAAATGCAAGGATGAGGAAACCGGGCATGAGAGGGGGAGGGGCAACAGAAGGCCAGTGTTTGGTTTTCCTTTTGTCTTTCATTGGAAGATGGTGAGTTAGCCCTGTTGCCCATGTATAGAGAAGGGAGTAGTGATTTGGAAACTCCAAAGCAATGGGCAATCCCCAGAAAGTGTGTATTTCCAATAAAATAATGAATCGTTATTTTATTGGAAATGTTTGGTTTCCTAATTCTGTTTGCCATTGTCCAATATCACTGTGGGCTTGCACTTGGTCAGCACAAACCAAACAGGAGTAGATGCAGCCCCACTCTGTGAGTGGGACCTTGGGAAGCAGCTGCCTCCACCATAAAGGGAGATTGGGGTACCAGATGGGTTTAGAGCCTCTTCCAGCTATAGTTCTAGAGATGGCCCAGAACCTTCTCAGCAAATATACCAGTTATTTATTGCTGAGTAACAAACCACTTCAAAACCAGGGGCTTAAAACAACAGGAATCATCAGTTTTGCTCACAAATATTCAATTTGGGCAGGGCTTGGTAGGAAGGCTCACGAGGCTCCACATGGCATCAGCTGGGGTGGTTCAATACAGCACTGGAGGACCCATTCCCAAAATGGCCAAGTCATGTGTCTGGCAAGTTGGAGGTTGCCTATCAACTAGGCACTCAGCTGGGTGAGAGCTAAGGGTCTTGCTTTCTCTCCATGTAGCCTGGGTTTCTTTACAGCATGGTGGCTGGGTACAAGAGAGAGCCAAGTAGAAGCTGTATCTCCTTTCATGGCCAAGGCTCAGAAGTCATACAGCATCACTCCCATAAGCATTCCAGTCACTAGAGTCACCAAAGCCAGTCCATACTCTAGGGGAAGGGAATTAGACTCCACCCTCGATGGGAGGAGTGTCAAAGAGTTTGTGAACATGTTTTAAAATCACCTCCACAAATGATACCTCTGGTGTCCACCCTCATGTTGGGTACTAGCTCTGACACCTCCGTTTTCCTTGGCCCCCTCCCCCATTCAGCCGATCACCAAGACTTGTAGATTCTACTACCCTCAAATCTTTTCATTCTCTCATCTCACACCTGGACCATTGCATCTTCTTAACTGATCTTCCTGCCTCCATTCTTTTCTTCTGTGATATTTAGGATTAGACTCAGCTGCATGTGACAAAAAATCCAAGTAACAGTGGCTTAAACAAGATCAAAATATACTTTTCTTTTACATAAAAAAAACTGATACATAGCTGTCCAGGGCTGATATAGTGGCTCTGGGATTGTCAGAGATCCAGGCTACTTTCATTTTTCTGCTCCACAACCCTTAGCATGCCCTGGTCCAAGATGGCTGCCCAAGCACCAGCCATCACTTCCACATTCCAGTCAGGAAGGAAGAGGAGTAAAGAAGGATACACCCGCTCCCTTTAAGGACCTTTCTCAGAAATTTCTACTTATATTTCATTGACCAGCACTTAGTCACGTTACCACACCTAGCTGCAAAGGAAGCTGAGAATGGAATCTTTATTCTGGGCAGTCATATGCGTCACTGAGGTTTTTGTACAGCTTGTTGCCTCTGCACAGATACCCTCCCACCCTCTTTGCACGCTAACTCTACCCTTGCTTCAGGCCTCCACTTAGACTTCACTGTCTTCCAAGAAGCCTTTGAGGGGCCCACAAATATGTTTTGATTTCTTTTAAAATCAGAAGAAAAACTCGATATTTTAGATCCAAGAACATGTTTGAATATATAATATTAAGGCATTTGTACCAATGCAGTTGTAAAATATCATTTTAAATATTTTTTATGGAGGAAGGGGCCCATGAAGGCAAAGGATTTTGGAGGTGCCAGTGCCTCCAAAAGTTCTGGTGTGGCCCTGCTCCTGTGGGCTCCCATATCTCCCTGACTTCACACCAGTCATAGCTCCCTCTGCACCACGTCGTAACTGCTGGGCATTTGATGGTCTCCCCCGCCCGACAGGCCTGGGAGGGCAGTGTCGACTGTGGTCCCCTTTGCATCTGCAGTGCCTCAAATACAGTCTGGTCCTTGGTAGACTCCCTGCAAATGTTGGTGGGTGAATGAATGAATGAGTGCTCTGAGCTCACCCAGCTACAGGGTTACAACCCCAGTAAAGATAAGGATGCAGGTCCTACCTGGCTCCACCTACCTGCTTCTCACCTGGTGTACTGTCTTAGTACAAATACTAGGTATGTGTGACTTGGGGAACTCACTTAATCTCTCATGACCAAGTGACCTCCCAAAGGCCCCACCTCCTAATACCATCACACTGGGGATTAGGGTTTCAACATATGAATGTGGTGGGGTGTGGGGAGGGCAAACATGCAGTTCATATCAGGTTCAAATCCTGAATCCAGCCCTTCCAATACCTACCTACACTCTGCAGACTTCCGGTTCCTCAGTTGCAAAATGCGGGTGGAGACACGGGGTCTCCAAGGCTCCAGCTGCTTGCTAGGGATGCACTGCCTGCCCAGTGCCCGCCTCCCCTGACCCCAGGACCGCTCAGTCCCTTCTCGACTCCCGCCCTCCCTCACATAGCCTGCCCAGGGCCCTCCCACCACGCCCTCCAGGGGTACTGTGCTCCATAACCCCCCCAGACCCCCTCAGGGCCTACTTGGTCCCCCGCAACCCAGCAATCTCCCCCAATAGCAGGGCCTGCCCGTGCCGGTCCTGCCGGCGCCCACGAGCACTCAGCACACTTTCCTCCTCCCGGAATCTCTCCCACCTGCTGCAGGGCCTGCCCAGCCCCCTCTTGCGCTGCCCGTCACAGCGACTCCTGGATCGCGTGGTCCGGCGCTACGCGGAGGTGGCCGACGCTGGCAGCATCTTCATGGACCACTTCACGGACCGCGACAAGCTGCGTCTCCTCTACACGCTAGCTGTCAACGCCCATCCCATCCTCCTACAGGTATGCAGGGACCCCCGGCCCTGGAAAGCCCGTCCAGGGAGCGGGTTCACTTCCGGCTCCGAGGGAGCAGGCCCTGGGTTGAGCTGTCTCTGCCATCACTGCACACCTTGGGGCCACCAGCCCACATTAGTACCTTTGTGGCATTTAGTAAATATGTGTTGGCTTCTGCAGTGGGGAAGTGCTGTGGTTGCTGCAGAGGAAAGAGGTGTGGGAGCTGGGGTGGAGGGGCGGTGGGGAATGGCCACTTTCACGGCCAGAGGCAGCCCAGAAGGGCTTTGTGGGGGAGGGCGACTTTGACCAGGTGTCTCAAAGATCAGTACGAGGGGCTTCCCTTCCCTGGTGGCGCAGTGGTTGAGAGTCCACCTTCCGATGCAGGGGACACGGGTTCGTGCCCCAGTCCGGGAAGATTCCACATGCCGCGGAGCGGCTGGGCCCGTGAGCCATGGCCGCTGAGCCTGCGCGTCCGGAGCCTGTGCTCCGCAACGGGAGAGACCACAACAGTGAGAGGCCCACGTACAGCAAAAAAAAAAAAAAAAAAAAGAGGGGGCGGGAGAGGAAGAGAGGGAGGAGAAAGAGGCGAAGGAGAAGGTGCAGGAAGAGGAGGGGGTGGAGGAGGAGGAAGCCCCACAACATTAATAATAATTAGTATTGTTATTAATTATAATTATTTATAATATTATATCGACTTTAATAACTATAATAATTATATCGAGATTATATTTTAATTATTTGTAGTATTATGTTAATATTAATCATTCTAATTAATAATTATATTAGTTATTATATGATTATTTATAAATAAATATAATTATTTATAATATAATTGTTATTTTAATATTATTTATACTATATTATTTTGTTCTAATTTATAATATATTTAATTCTAATTATTTATATTATTAAAATTATTTATGACATATTATATAATATATAATTACTTTTTTTTTTTTTTTTTTTGCGGTTCGCGGGCCTCTCACTGTTGTGGCCTCTCCCGTCGCGGAGCACAGGCTCCGGACGCGCAGGCTCAGCGGCCATGGCTCACGGGCCCAGCCGCTCCGCGGCATGTGGGATCCTCCCAGACTGGGGCACGAACCCATGTCCCCTGCATCAGCAGGCGGACTCTCAACCACTGCGCCACCAGGGAAGCCCCATATTATTTTAATATATAATATATTAACTATATATTATTGGCCAAAGGCATGATGGCTGAGTACATAATAACAACTCATTTCTTGAGCACTAGCTATGTGCCAGGCACTGTGTTAAATGTTTTACATCATTATCTCATTTAATGCTCACAACTCAACAACCCCACAGGAATATTATTATTGTCCCCTCTTCCAGATGAGGTAAGTGGAGCCCAGAGCTGTGAAGTGACTTGGCCACAGCCCCTTAGCCAGTGTCAGCAATGGAACCCAAACCCAGAGCTGTCTGACTTCAGGGTCCAAGCTCTTCCTGCTAAAAGCTGCCTACTAACGTTGGCATTTGAAATCCTAGAGGAGAAGAAGGAATTGCTGGTTTTCCTTCACGCTCAGAGGCCTTCTTCTCCAATTGTCCTACACCTAGTGGCCAAGGCAGGTGACCTGACTGCTTCCAGCCCTGGCTCCTGAGAGGTCTGGGCTGGGAGTCTCCATCCACCCTGAGCTCCGCCCAGGAAGGGCATGGCGTCGATCTGCCCCCAACCCAGGGATGACTCGTGGCCGCACATTTAGACATCGGCAGGGGGCCAGGGGCCTCTCTGCATGGCACACAGTGGAGAGGCCCCAGTGGGCGGGGGTTGGGGGGGGGACAAGAAAAGGTTCTTCACAACATGGTGAGTGGGTTAAAATGGCAGAAGGCCACAGAAAATCATCAGAAAGGGGGATGACTTTGTTTTTTTAAGAAGGAAAATGAGGAAAAAAAGTGTTAATATTTATAGTTTCTGTCATTTCTCCCATAAAGAAACACCATTCTAGATATAGCTGCCTCAGTAAATAGTCAAAAAAAAAAAGCTAGGATATTCCCTCCACTCTTTTTTTTTAATTGAGATATAGTTAATTTACAATATTGTGTTAGTTTCAAGTATACAGCAAAGTGATTCAGTTTTATATATATATATATATATATATATATATATTCTTTTCAGATCCTTTTCCCTTATAGGTTATTACAAAATATTCAGTAGAGTTCCCTGTGCTATACCATAGGTCCTTGTTGTTTATCTATTTTATATATAATAGTGTGTATATGTTAATCCAAAACTCCTGGAGCTCTTACAAGGAGACAGAGGAAACTGGGTAGAGCTGTGTGCTTCCCTAGACCAGTGTTAGGCTGTCAGAACGTTCCAGTCAGTTGGGGAATCTCTGTGAGTGTGTAATTACCCCAACCAGGCAGATTTGCCCAGGACCACGCCCAGGACCAGTGCAGCAGTTCCCAAAACTTGAGTCACCCAAGGGTCACCTTCATAATTTTTGCCCTATCCCAGAACCTACTGCCTGCACTGTTATTTTTTAAAATATTTTCTTTAAATCAGCCTTAAGTTGACCCTCTTTTTTTTCCCCCATAACCTCTTCCTAAGCCGTGATGTCTGTAAAATCTGAAATGCTAGTCATATTTTTTCAACTATACAACTCTTCAAATAAACACATTTCCCTGAAGCCTGAATACCCTCTAAAATTGTAGCAAGGGCATCGGCATTCTCTTACCTCGCTTGGGGCAACTTTGTTGAAATGTAATCTACAATATGGAAAGAAGAGCTCCCTTTTCTGAATCCCTCCATCAACAACGGAATAAAAAAGTGGTGGGGGGAGGGACGGGGGGGAGCAAGGTATTGCCATGTTCCAAGAGGTATAAACAAGGTTAAGGGATGCTTTGCTGACGTGTCTTGAGACGTTGGGTACCTGAGTAAGGCTGATCTTTCTGTCTGCTCTTGGAGAGAGAGAGAGAGAGAGAGAGAGAGAGAATGAGAGAAAGAGAGGGAGGGAGGGAGGGAGGGGGAGAGAGAGAGAGGGAGGGAACTGTCTCAGGAGGTTTTTCTCTCTAATCCTCTAATGCCTCCTCCTCTCGCTTGGCAGATCTTCCCGGGCGCCGAGGGATGGCCACTGCCCAGGTACCTGGGCTCCTGCGGCAGATTTCTGGTCAGCACTAGCACCAGCCCGCTGCAGGAATTCTATGGTGCACCCGCAGACCAGGCGGCCGACCTGGCCTACCAGCTCCTGGGTGTCCTGGAGTCTCTGAGAAGCAACGATTTGAACTACTTCTTCTACTTCACCCACGTGGATGTGGACATGTTTGGCATCTTCAACAATGGGCATCTGTTCATCCGGGATGCCAGCGCACTGGGCGTCATCGACAGGCAGGAAGGTACCCAGCATGGGCCTGGCTGAGCAGCTGTCAGAGGGGAAGCCAGGGTGACAGGCGCTAGGGAGGGGTGACAACGGGGCCTGGGGGTGGGGTGTGGCTCACACCACTGGGCCTCGCCCGTCTCCCTGTGTCATCGTGAGAGCAGCCCAAGTTTGGGACGGGAGAGAGTCCCTCTCCCCGTTTTAAGTCTCTGCTCCAGCTCCAAAGGGGAACCGGACTTGACCTTGTCAGTACAGGAGGAGGAGACCTGCACTGTGCTATGGCCCCAGCTTCACCCTCTGAGGGCACTGCCGTTGTCTGATTGGGTCTGTGTGGCGTGGGGACATACATCTCCCCCTCAGAGCCTTTCTCATCAGATGCTCTGTCTGAACTATCTGGCTGATTCAGTGGTACATTTCGCAATCCATTTGGGCACCTTTGCTTTTTATAAAGTTTTCAAATTGAAAAACATGGCACCGAATGAGGTGTATGAGTGAATCGTGTTTTTGATGATGTGCACAGGCTCATCCAGGGTTCTAGAACCCTTTGAACATCGCAGTCTGTAATGGTGACTAGATATTCTGAGCCCAATAGTAGGACAGAGGATTTTAATTTCCAATTTCTGATTTTGTTTATATGAGAAGGCCTACAAAGATAGACCAATTAAACCACGCTTACTCATGTCCTGATTTGCCTTTATCAAGAAGAATCAAATGAGAAGAAGTGGGGCTGATACCAGAATATTCGGGATATGTGAACCGCTGAATAGCAGTCCCCCTACAACCCACTGAAGGCATATTCTGGATTACCTGTTCTTTCTCCCAACTTTGTGTTTAAAGAGGGCACATGAAACCGGCCCTAGGAATTTCCTGAGCTCCCTAATTCTGTCATAATAATGGGAGAATCACGATATGCATGAGAGCCTTGCAATTAGAAGCCCAAGTTCTGGTAGGAAGAAGTGCGTTTTCCATCCCCAGGCCTCATCTTTTTTTTATTTTTTGGGTGGCATGCAGGCTCTTACTTCCCCGACGAGGGATCAAATCCATGCCCCCTGCAGTGGAAGCACAGAGTCTTAACCACTGGACCGCCAGGGAAGTCCCAGGCCTCACCTTATTGTAGCCAAGAGAGTTCCCCCCAGGGTCTCAACGGATGCCATCGTGTCCCTGAGCCCTAAATCTCCTGGTGACAGGAGATGCTAGGAGTCTGAACCACTTTGCCCAGCAATTCTCATTAGTGACGCCTTCCCACAAGGAGAACAGGTTGTAGGGTGTGTGATGTCTTCCATTCTCTTGTAGGCAGCCAAGCGGCCTCCAGGGCAGGAGAGAATAAAGACATCTTCAGCTGCCTGGTCTCTGGCTGCCAAACCGAGCTGCCCTCCTGCGACACCATCCCTGAGAAGCAGAGCCTGGTGCTGGTGTGTGGCCAGGTGCTGCCCCCACTTCTCCAGGCCAAATTCCCGTCCCCGGTGCAGGAGGAGATAGACGCCGAGCTCGCTCGCTGTGGGGAGGGAACCCGGCCAGACCCCGAGGTCCTCCAAGCTGCCAGCCGGCTGAAGGACATCTTGAGGCCCCTGAGAACCTGTGACCCCAGATTTGCCTACCGCTACCCAGACTGCAAGTATAATGATAAGTTCTGAGGGGCTGGAGCCTTGCTGGCCTCCGGGGACCACATCCTTGGAACTTCCGCTGCCCGCTCGCTTGCTGCACGGTTGAAAGAAGCTGCTCCCTTTTAGACACTGGGAGAAAGGTACCTTTGTTTCCCAGGGAGAAAGGAACATGCCAAACATCAGAGGGCAGTCATGCCATCGGGTGGCATGATTACCCTCACTGGCTGGGTCATCGTGGAAGAGCCCAAGGGTGGGCATCGGAAGAACCAGGTGTGGACGCTCACTCGGCCTCTTTGAGCCTCATTTTTCTCTCTTCTCTACCAGACTCTTGAGTTAGTGCAAAAACACAGAGATATGAAGGGCCAGGGACACGTGCTCCCTCCCCCCAGCCCAGGTGGTTAAAAAGAATGTTCCAGAAGCATGCACGGTCAGGGCAAATGTGACAGAGCCGTGGAGGTCAAAAGGCTGGCACGGAGGGAAGACTGTACCCCTGCCCTAGCCCTCCTGCTACACTCCCCGCACTGCCACAGGGTGAGGAGACTGCAGGACAAGGGGACACGTGGACAGAAGCCCCTTCTGTCCCAGAAGTGTCCAGAGAGGCACTTCATGGTGTGGGAAGGAGCCAGGGGTAAGAAGAGAAGAGGGCTGGGCTGGGGGCCAATGTGTTTGTCCAGGTCCTCAGAGAACCAGGTGTCAAGACAGGATTAAATGGGCAAGGATTGTATCAATATTAAGGAAGATGCCTGGGTGGGGGCGGGGGGGCGGGAGGAAAGGAGGAGGGAGCCGGAGAAGGCTGGGAGAGCCATCAGGCCGGGCTGTAAGGTTGACCCCTCCCTCCCCCAAGCGAGGGCAAGAAGGTCAGGTTGGGGCATCCCAGACTGCCATCTGCACAACCGAAAGAAGCTTCAGCGAGACCGTCAGGGTGTCCTCGAGGCAAAGCCAGCCATCAGAGGAGCTTCGCAAGAATGGAGAGCCCTTATATTCCTGTGGCAGGGAACAGCCCGTGGGAAGCGTGGCCTCAGCCCAACTGCAAAGATGGATTTCAAAGCACAGCGCAGGGCGCTTAGCCAGTTCTGCTCCCTGGAGCAGAAGGTCTGTGAGTTCGAAGATTCTCATTGTAGCCACAGCCGGGAACCAGGGCCAGCTGTCTCCACACCGTGGCCTCCAGGGCAGGACTCTTAAGTAGTCTGAGAATTTTCATTCAAACTTGGCCTTACAGGTCATTCTAAAAATAGTTTTTCAAGGTCAGCCAACGGAATATATTTTATTCAGCAGTTTGCTTTATATCTTTAAAATGTTTAGCCACGTGGTATGTGGGTCTCCGTGTATACTCCTGCCTGGGCCCCTCAAACATTAGTGGGGCTTCCTTGGACCTTTGCCCAGCCTCCCTGCCAGCCCTCCACCCCCCCAGGCACCTCTCAGTCGGCTTCCTCTTTTCTACCTCTGAATCACCACCTTTAAGGTCAGAGTGCCTGGCTTAATAGGCTTCAAGCTGCAGACGGGGAAACGGAGGCCCAGGGAGGAAGAGTGACTTGCTGGGATAGTTCCAGAACTCCTGCTACCCGTCCAGGCTCCTCTTGCCTTCCCCTTCAGCCTCTGTCCTGCCCAATTCTGGTCCCTCCACTCACATTTAAAGAGTAGCCAAGGAAAGTCCTGTTTGGTGGTACACTGCGGTGCGGTTGGGAGTTCCTTTTTGACTGCTCCGGGCACTACCTCTGGGGCAACTGTAACAGTGAGGATGCCAGGCCAAGCTTCTGGGAGGGCAGGCTTGGGCTGCCTAAGAGTCTTTGAGACAGTTGCTTCCTGGCTTGGTCTGGAGAGCGAGGATTGACCACCCTTCCCAACACCTTGCTTTTTGAGCCCAGTGAAATTGATCTTAGACTTCTGGCCTTCCGAACTCGGAGAGGATAAATTTCTATCGTTTTAAGCCCTCACTGTGGAGTCATTTGTTATAGCAGCCACAGGAAACAAACACATACCCTGAACTCTTAGCGTCTGCTTCCAGAGAACCCAACTTGCAATGCTCCCCAGCTCCAGTCTATTGTGATGGATTCAAAAGCCAGACCCACCAGTAAGGAGTGTGTTATGCGTCCATAACCAGGGCTGGGGCTTGGACGGTTCCGTTCCTCCACGGACTAAGTCCTGAGCATCATTTAAGACCCTGAGTCCTACCTTGACCCAAAGCTTTTCCTGACAGCCCAGCTCCCGGCAAGCCTTTTCTGAATCCTACCTCTGTACCCCTGAACCCCAGGCCCGCACCCATTTGAGGCTAACCTCAAGGGTATTCCAGAGAGATCTGTGCTCCGCCTTCCCATCCAGCTGGGAGCTCCCTGAAGATGCTAGTGGCACAGAGCTCTTTGTGTTCCCCGTAGCAACCAGCACAGGGCTAGGCACAGAGCACGTGCTCAGAAAATATTCTTGCTGAGAATTATGACTGTGTTCTTCAATCCTTTTTCTTCTGTGCTCTGCATACACCATGTGCTCTAGACTGATTTATTGTGTCCCCCGCAAAAATTCATAGGCTGAGATCCTAACCCCCAATGTGATGGTATTTGGAGGTCATGGGGGTGGAGCCCTCATGAATGCCCTCATAAAAGAGACCCCAGACAGCTCCCTCACTCCTTCTGCCATGTGAGGACACAGCAAGAAGGTCCTGGCTATGAACCAAGAAGCTTGCTCTCTCCAGACACTGAGTCTGCCAGCCCCATGATTCTGGACTTCCTGACCACCGGAACTGTGAGAAATAATTGCTGCTTATAAGCCACCCAGTCTGTGGTATTGTTACAGCAGCCCAAACGGACAAAAACACCATGTTGAACATATACAAGTCGCAGCCACGTCCTCGAGAACAGCTCTTTTCCCTCAACAGCCAGGAGACAAGTGAGTCAACACTCAAGAGACCTAGCCATCATACTATGTTCTCATCCCCCTGGAATCTGATTGGAGGCATTATTTTTTCTGCGTTTTGCCAGCCACTGTCTTTCTGCCTGCAGGACCGGCTGCATAATTTGTGGGACCCCCTGCAAAATGAAAACATGGGGCCTCCTGTCACTGAGAATTGCAAGATGGGGCCAGCAGAGTGTTAACCTAAGTGCAGGCCCCGTACGACTGTACGTTGATGCCCACGAAGCCAGCCCTGGGTGCCTGAGAATACTAATTAACCTCTGTGTAGAGGGTTCTTGGGGTTTACTGGGGTCTCACTTGATCTCCACAACCAAGGGGAGTAGCTGTGGAGCCAGAGGTGATATAAAATATTTAATAACCGTCATGGCAAAGGAACTGACGTAGGAGAACAGACTCCATTGGCTTCAGCTATCAGCTCGGCGTCCCCACAGCCCTGCGGGCAAGTCCTACTTTTCAAACAAGGAAACTGATTCAAGCGATTTGCTCAAAGTGACAATTTTTAGGTCTCCTGCTTTCCTAGTCCTCCCCTGTAGCATCTAACTTCTGCCTATAAGTGATTGCATGAGCCTGAATGTTTCCTCTAGAGCTAAAATAAATACTTTGTTGGATTTGTATTCATTTTGAAAAGGTCTAGAGCCCTGGAATCAGACAGACCTGGCTTCAAATCATGACTGCTGGTTACTGTGTAACCTTGGGCAAGCTGCTTAACCTCTCTGAGTCTCTCTTTCCTCACTCATAAAAAGATGAGAAAAAGATTTACCCTTGCAGGGTTATTATCCTATTTAAATAATACACTGTTTCTCAAGAGCCTGGCACATACGGGCATTCTATATTTAATGGTAAATGTAGGGCAAGAGCAGAGGGCTTCCTGGCAGAAAGGGCTCCTCACACAGCCAAGGTGAGTGCTGCAGCCTCTCCGGAGGGACGCTGATCTCTGTCCCAAAGCTCTGCTCCAGACCAAAGGAACCACCAGGATGCCGCAGGCTGCCGGACAGTCTGACTCGGGCCATTTTTCTTCCCTCCCGCTCTCCAGACTCTGGGATGATCATGAATGGCAGCCGGGCAGCCACTACACTTGCCTTCACAGCCTAGGTCTCCACCAGGCTCAGGAGGGAATCCTCCTTGAGCAGGTAACGTTGGGAAGTCCACCGGCGCTTAGTATCCGAGAGGTTCAAGTATCCCTCTTGGCCCATTGAAAGCTCACAGCTCACTGCCTGTGTGTGGTGATGTGGCTTTCCTGCCCACTTCAGGCCTGTTGCTCACATATATTGACACAGCTGAGCTCACGTGCACACAAGTATAGTCAGATCGGTCTGCAGCTCTTCACGTCATTTTTAAAAAATGGTTGCACCTGCGGACTGTGCAGGATGGTCAACACCCAGGCTGAGGGCCCTGATTTGCAGATGTAATGACCCTCTAAGAAGGCAACTTAGAGGAATAGGCCAGCAAAGGGGAGCTGAGCAACCAGTGACCCGCCCATTGGAGCTCTTTGTAGAAGCAGACAAGGAGAGAGAGCACCCCCAGCCCACTAGGGTGAGCAGGGCATCATCTCAGGTCTGAGCTGCCTGTGGCAGCGCAGAGGGATCAGCGGCTCCGGAAGCAGACTCGTCTGCTTTCAGATCCTGTGCCAGCCTCTCTCACCAAAATTAGTACGTCAAAGTTATTGATTGCAGCGTTGTTTGTCATTGCAAATACAGAAAACAGCTTCAGTGCCCGTACATGGGAGAGTGGTTGAATAAACTGCAGTACATCCACACAAAGGAGTGCTATGCAGTTCTACAAATGAATAAGGAAGGTCTCTAGGAACTGACATGGGATGATTTGCAAGATATAGCATGACGTGAGGGGAAAAAAAGCTCACAAGGTTATTTATAGGATGCTACCTTTCATGTAAGAAAGAAGAAGATATAAGAAAACACTTATGTATCCGTTCACCTGTGATGCAAAAAAAGATATACACACATACATATGTATGTGTGTGTGTATATGCATGTGTGGGTGTATAGATACATAGATCTAAAGAATAAACCAGGGGGCTTCCCTGGTGGCGCAGTGGTTGAGAGTCCGCCTGCCGATGCAGGGGACGCGGGTTCGTGCCCCAGTCCGGGAAGATCCCACATGCCGCGGAGCGGCTAGGCCTGTGAGCCATGGCCGCTGAGCCTGCGCGTCCGGAGCCTGTACTCCTCAACGGGAGAGGCCACAACAGTGAGAGGCCCGCGTACCACAAAAAATAAAATAATAAAATAAAAAATAAATAAAGAATAAACCAGAAGCTAATGAGATTGGTTCCCTACAGGGGGTGGGTGTCAATGCGGTGGAAAGAAGAGAGGAATGGGAGTGGGGCAGCAGGGATGAGGGGGGAGTGAAACTTTTCTGAGCATGCCTTTTTGTATAACTCTGACTCTTAGAACCATGGGAATACCTCACACAACCCACAAATAAATAGTTAAGATCAACCAGGAGGTGGGTTGAACTAAAATGAAATACAAAGAATAACAGATGGACCCAACTGTATTACAAATGAATAAAATAACTACACAGAGGAACTAACTTAAGTAACTTGCAAGCTAAGCCTTTTGACTACATAGTATAAGACGAAAAACAACAAGAAGTGTACATACACTTTAAAATGGTTAATTTTATGGTATGTGAATTTTACCTCAATTTAAAAAGAGAGAGGAAAAAAGAACCATCCACAAAATCTGTGCTCTAGTCAGTAAATATTTTTCTCATAAAGATCTGGGTTAGCAATTCCGAAACTAAGTTTTGAGCATGTAGGTAAATATGTTGTGGATGGTGAGAGACGGGCTTCTCA